GCAATCTTAAAATACACATTTTAACTCTAAATAACAATTGTTACCATCCTCAACTCTAAATAGCAATCTTAAAATACACATTTTAACTCTAAATAGCAATCTTAAAACAACCCACTTTTCTTTTTGATAGCAATCTTCAAAAAACCCTAGTATGCTTGTTTAGATGTCAAGTACTTGGTAAGATCTATAAGCAAATTAATAGCAAGATGTATAAGAAAAGTGATAAATAGCAAGATTGTAACAGAAGATAAAGTGATAGCAATCTATAAACCCCATCTAAATAGTTGATCTAAACAGAAGATCTATAAACTAAACAGAAGATCTATAAACAATCTGATCTATAAACAATCTGATTAGAGGTCACCATCTAAATAGTTGATCTAAATACTTGATGTAAAAGTGATAATAGCTTCGAGAAATGTAAATAGGGAAAAGAAATAATCTGATTAGAGGTCACCGGCGACCGGCGACTAGCGACCGACGACCAGCGACCGGCGACTAAACGGCCTGTACGACCGGAGACATTACCTGATGGAGCGTCGAGAAGCTGCTGCGCGTCACCGTCACCGAAAACAGAGGTGTGGGCGATGGAGGTCACCGGCGATGGAGGTCACCGGCGATGGAGATATGGAAGATGGAGGTCACCGGCGATTTTCCCTTAAGGAGACGATGATCTAGCGTTTGGTGTGGAAGGGCGATGTAGAGAAGGAGAGAGTGGGTTGGTAGGTGTGGAAGGGTAAAGAGGGAAAATTAATAATCTGAATGGTTTAGCATGGATTCAACCTCAAAATGGTTAAGAGCTTTGAGTAACCATTAAGAGGCTTTTATTTTTTTGCCAAACATGTCTCACCTCTGACCGATTAAGAGGTTCCCTCTTAATGTCACCATTAAGAGGGAAACAAACAGCCCCCTACCCTCAAAATGGTTAAGAGGTTTGTGTCACCATTAAGAGGGCATTTTTTTTTTGCCAAACATGTTTTACATCTGACCGATTAAGAGGATACCTCTTAATGTCACCATTAAGAGGAATCCAAACAGCCCCTCACCCTCTCACATACACTTACCCTCTCACAACCGATTTTTTTAAAATTATAATTTTAAATTTACACTTTATACCCCTATAATTAATTAATTAATTAATTTATTTTTAAATGTTTAATTTTAAACATTTATCAAATTAACATACATAATCGTATATCAATTAAAACATATTTAAAAAATACATTTTTATTTTAACAAGTTACACAATTATAATCGTCTCGTTAATACTTTCGAAATGAGTCCATTATTAAATAGTTTTTGACTTAATTATATTATTATATATATGTGAAAAAATATTTTTAATATTTACGATTTATATTTTTATAGTTATATATATATATATATATTATTTTGGGGTTAAGTTGTTCAAATTGCACTGTATAATATGTTCTGGTTTTTTTTGAAATATATATATATATATATATACACATGTATTAATTCAACCTTAATATGAGTTTCTGGACAAGAAAGAGGGTAAACAGTTGAAATTTCATTCTAAAACCCATCTTTTTTTGTCTTTTCATGGTTTATGATCTATCAAATTTGTAGTTTTCTTTATTGGTTTTGAGTGTTTATCTTAAAACTCAAGTTTCTTGGTTTTTTGCTCTTGGTGTAAATCGAATACATTTGTGGAGTCGTTTAAATATGTTGGATTTTAAATATATTAGATTTTAAACTGTCATACAATTTTTTCCACCGATAGTCTATAATTGGAACCATAACTCTTATTTATTCAAATTGTATTAAATGTAAAGACCATGTGTAACCTATATCATCGTTAAATCTTATCTTATAAAACCAGTGGAACTTCAAAATCGTTAAAATTCATGGCTCCCGCCGCATTGCGCGGGTACACAACTAGTTATATTATAAAACATTTGACAAAAACTTTTAAAGACCATTTTTTATGCATGAAGTACTGTATATTGATGCATATTACTTAAAATTCAAAATTACAAGTAAATTATGCATAAGTACAACTTATTAAAGCCGTATGTTTGAATTCGTGTAAATAACTGCGGATAAATATAATCAAATAGAGGATAAACATCTAATTTTAAAATACAAAAAATCTAAAATATAATTAGAATAATTATCGAGTTTTAACAAAATAATTAATTATTATCTTTATAAGAAAATTATATTATCTATATTATATTATAAAGCATTTGACAAAAACTCTTAAAAACCGTTTTATGCATGATGTATTGTATATTGATACATATTACCTAAAATTCAAGATTACAAATAAATTATGCATAAGTACAACTTATTAAAGCTCCATATTTGAATTCGCGTAAATAACTGCGGATAAACATAACAAGTTAGAAGATAAACATCTCATTTTAAAATATAAAAAAGCTAAAATATAATTAAGATAATTATCGAGTTCTAACAAAATAATTAATTATTATCTTTATAAGAAAATTATATTATTAAACCAAATATAAATTACTTCGTTATTGAACCTAAATTAAATTATATTAGTGCAACACTTGTCTCCAATTTAGTTGCAGCGGATACAACACCAGTTAGTGCAATAGTCCTTGCTGAAAGAAGGAGAACTTATAATAGAAATTATTATCTACGATGTAAGAAAAAAAAACATAACAGCAACAAGTGGTAACCCACATACAAGCATTGAAACATTGACAACCACCATAGAGAACAATGAAGTGATGGATGTTACAGGTAAAATCCATATCCTTAATATGTATATTCAATCATCAATTTTGTATTATCGTAACTTCATATATGACGCAATTTATGTTTTTCCAACAAAAACATTTATAGTTTTGTAAATTATTATTTAATTTACTTTTTACATTCTTGTATTCATAGATATAGTTATTTAATGATAACTATATTTTTACATAGGTTTAGTTCTTAAATGTTAACCATATTTTTACATTCAAATGTCCTAGATGTAGAAACCTCACTGAGGTCATTGTCAAC